GAGACGTGAATCTCCTTCAGCTGCTAACTGCTGAGGCAGAAGGGAGCTGGAGGCATCCAAGCCTGTGCAGAAGAAAGGAGATTGTCTCAGCCAAGCCCAGGCGTGTCCCTTCCATCTTCCTGTGACATTCCCAAAGTCCAGATTGAATCAATGACTTGGATGTTCTAGTATAAAAGCCACAAAACCTGTGCTTTCTGGAAATCTCTGATTCACTTCTTTTCGACTCTAGGTGTTCAGTGTGAAACTTCTAAGCATTTACTAGTCTCCTGATTAAAAAAAAAAAGTGTGACCCCTAAATTTAGCAGAAATTTTAATAAAATCATCATGTTTCCAAATTCTTAATCCCCAAAAAGGATTTTAAATCTCAATGCCATTCTACTCTTAGCATCCTCAGGAAAATTGGCAGGGTAATTTAGGCCTCGTTATTAAAACAGCAGGCAGTTGTCTTCTTTCTGTTCACTTAAAAAAAAAAAAAGAATCAGTTTATAAACCAGCATCTAGACCCTTTACACACTGACAAGATTATCATTATTATTTTTTTACAAGAAGAACAGTTTGGGAGGCTTGTGATGGCAAAAGTGAGATGTTCTTACAGAGGCATCATGGGAAGGTCCTTGGCTTAGACCTTTAGGTTGCATCGTCTCTTTAGAGGCTCATGATAGGCCCAGGAGCAGATGGAATGGTTTCAGATGAGGCAACAGAGGCCATGAGATGACAGTGACTTTGCTAAGGTCACATGTCTGCGTTCGGAGAAGTTGAGGTTCAAGTCCAGGTCTCTCCACTCTTCTAGATAGGAATTGTCCCCCAGGCCTCATGAAGCCATGGCTGAAAATTGATGTGACTTCCCCAGGGCCATACAACTCTTACAAAATCTTCCCTCTGAGCCTGGGAGTTTGCCAGAACTGAGAACAAATGCCATTTTCACAGATTCATTTTTGACCATGGGTTTGCACAAAATCCAAGAATCGACCAACACTATCGACATCAGTATCATCACGTGTGTCTCTTGCTCATCCTTGTTCCAGAGGCCGTGAATTTACTAACTGCCTCAAGGTCAGGCTGAAGCTGACCACACTCCTTGGTCCTTTGCTAATAACGGGATTATCCCTTTAAGAAACTAGTGCAAAGTAGGTCTTTAAAAATGAACCTGTGAAAAAAATGGCACTTGTCCTCAGTCCTGGTAAATTCTCAGGCTTCGTGAGGGGACTTCTGCAAAAGAATTGTGTGGCCCTTGGCAAGTCACACCAATTTTCGGCTGTCGCTTCCTTGTTTGTGTAATTAAGGCAATAACATCCCCACGCTGGGTCCCAGGGAGGATTAAATTATGTGAAAGTGGATGAACTGACTGATAATCACTTCCTGGAGTATCATTTAAGAAGCGATAACTTAAGCAATGTATCTTTTGAAGATGTCCCTAGGTTTGATGGTGAAATAACCCTGTTTTTAATCCCATCTCCCAAAATTCTAAGTAGTTTTTACAAATTTATAGAAGCCTAGGCTCTGGGAGGGCAGATGGTTTCCTCGAAGTCCCATAGCAGGTGGTAGGGCTGGGGTCGATACGGGGAGGCCTGGACTGATGGACCATACTTTTAAACACCAAATTCTCTCACCCTCCAGATGATGAGCAGGAATAGACATGTCATGTGGCCAAGGCTGGGTATGATGACTTCCTCTGGCTCCTTTCAGCCCTCCTCAGCCTCCTTTTGCAAGAGCTTGAGATGTTTGTGTAAGCTCCCTGCTCTCTCAGGGATGCTGTGCTCAGAAAGCTTCATCGATTTCTTTTACTGGACAGTGGCAATTTTGCCTGCTCCTTGTAACCCTCAAAAACAAGTCTGGTGAGGTCACCAAAGCAACTGGCAGTTTGCTGCTTTTAAAGCTCTTTTGTACCTGGCTTTTCTATGGTGGCCATAGAGAGCCTAGCCTTGCCAACCAAGGGGGTGACCAGAGGACAAATCTTCGGGGCCAGCCTCCCACAGGCTTTATATCACGATTTAGTTTTTACTTTGCTTGCTCTCTTTTTGTGATATTTCTCATCACAAATAGCCATTCAGATATCTAGATGAGAAAGATGGCTTCAAAGCCCACAGGATAAATGGAGTCAGTTCTGTGGCCAAAGTCCACATAAGGGAGGATATGTTCTTAGACTTTAGGACCCTCAACTCATGCCATTGTGCTTACACCAAAGTCTCCTTCAAAAAACCATTTGCAACACACTAAGAGGGTCCCGAGAGGGATGGAAGAAAGTGGGCCATCTCCTGGATTTCGTATCTTGTTCAGGAGGGAGAAGATCCTTTGTTGTCAGCTATGGACCAAGTGTCTTGCCAAGAACAGAGAAGCAAATATGTTTTGTGCTGCTGTGGGGAGGGATGGTTCTGAAGGGCTGAAAATAGGGTGGATAGGGAAACAAAAGAAAGTTATAGATGAGCTTTGGATTCTGTCTGGGCCTCAGGATGGGCTGCTATTACAGCAGTGACGTCTCCAGACTTCTCCAGGTCCTCCTGACAAATATTTCCTACACTAGGGGCTAGCTGTGGAAGATTTAAAACCAAACATCACGACCCCTGCTTTTACGGAATTCGCAGTTGCTGAGGGAGACAGGCCACAGGTGGATAGCTTCAGCTGCTGTCTTAGGGGATTCAAAGAACTTTCCTAAAAGAACCTACTCTGGACCAGGGACCTGCAACATGATGGGGATTCAGTCATCTCCTAAACATGGGGCCTAGTGCTACATACTAATGTGGCCAGCACTGTGGAAACATGACAGAGGCATGTATATAGATGGAAATCTCAGGAGGACACATGCAGGATATGGCAGGAGGGGAGGAGATACCTTGTAGAAGAAACAGCATGATCAAATACAGTGATACGAAATGTTTTGTAACTGGGACATGTTACTAGCTAGTTGTGGATGACTTCTTAGACTACCATGGCTCTCAGACAACATTCTGATAAAAAGCCTTCCTTTCCTTTGTTCTGTGGTTTGTTCTTGGGTTTGAACTGGGGACATTGGACTAAGGACAGCAGAAGGCTTCGTGAATGTGATCAGATGGTCTGGTCTCAGATCCTCAAGGCCAAAATAGGGCATATTTTCCTTTGTGGTCTTGGATATGTTCATCAGAACATCCTCCCATTGTCAGTTCCTTGGGGGTGAATCTCAGAGCCATGATACACAACTTCTGCTCACAGTATGACTATTAATAATTTCTGTAAAAGGGCACAAATTGACAGGTAAGATTAGAGCTAACCCCATATTATATGGTTATCTAAACATGGTACAAGCAGGCATTTTTCCTTCCTGAGCAGGAAACCCCAATCAGAACCCCATTTTATTCAGGAATACATTGTCACACTTGACCCTTATTCTAGCTCTGTAAGACCTCTATTAATATCCCTACTGTACTCATGAGGTACCTGCAGCTTAGAAGCCTTTAGAGCTTGCTTGTGACCTTACAGCCAAACCAAGATCTTTGCTGCCACTACATCAAATAGAACACACCAGTCCTTGGCATCCATGCCTCAAATTCATATGAGAACTCTCAGTCTAGAGGTCCTTTGCCACTCTCCTCCTGTTGGGTCAGCACAACCTTAGTCATCACCACCTCTTTCTCTCACTCCTGAATTCTTCACTGTTGCAACCATGGTGCTGTAGGTGGTGGTGGGGTCAGGGGGAAGGCATGTAGAAACACAATAGAAATGGCTGCTCAACGAAGGAAGTCACCTGACTGGTCTCTTAGGCCAGCTTTCTCTGTGGATCTCTTTGATGGATGCCAGTGTCCCACTAGGGACTCGTGTGCCCAGTGGCTGCACACTGACATACAGTCCCACAAATGCAAGACTTGCTAAGGTTCTCACAGGTGAGATCAGTCACTTCACGGATCTCCATGTCTATGTGGCAAAAGGATACCATCTAATGATGCTCAGTCTGACAAACACTTGGAACCTGTCAATTCATTGTACCCACCCACAGTTGACATCTTTCACCAACTCCATTCCTCTTTCTGCATGAAGGTGTGGCTGAGAGTGGCCACACAGCTTCTCAGATGTATCCTTGCAGTGTGGAATTCTGGCTGTTGTAGAGGACCACGGATTATCAGTCTTTGGGAGCTTGCTTTGTCTTGAGTCAGTGGCTCTGCAGTCCAATTGCTGCTATTATGTATCAAGCTATTATGTATCAATCAATTCTCACCTGAACCCACTCAGTGTTTATTCTCCTTGATTGCTCTGTTCTTCTGTGCTGCCATTTTGATTGTAATTTTTGCTTCTCTTAAATGCTTTATCACCCCTCAATTACTTTCCCACTGAAAAGCAGCGACAGGGTGATCAGCCAGACTTGAGCCGTAGGTTTGAATGTTTGAGAATCCTTGCACTCTCCCTGTAACCTCACATATGCCCTGGAGAACCATGCTTCCTTTTGTTTTGAAATAAGAAACATCATGCGAGATCAAATGGGGGAAAAGGGTTAAGACATAGCTCTCTAAAATGCCTCCACTGATGCATTGTAAAAGGAGAAAAGAGAGAGAATTGGCATCAGTCCATCCACATCATCATTCCACTTTCCATCCCAGACTCTCCCCCCACCATTTCTCAGTGTCACACAGGCTCCAAGTGGTCCAGCAGCAAATGTCAGGCATCTTCAAGGTCAAGTGACTTAGTCATCGTAATGCGTTGCAATCAGGTTTTACTTTCTACTTCTTCTGTGCATCACTGATGTTTCTGGGTCCGGTGGCTCACTTTATTTTCCCCACAATACACAGTGTGTATGTATGTGTATTTTGTATAGTCTTCTGTGGCTCAATGCAGCTGGGTACAGCCTTCTGGTTCACCTGGCATTCTCTTAAGGTAGGATCTTTAACCGAGCAAATGTAAATTTTCCATTCTCCTCACACTCTTCACTAATCTACTCGTTAAAACAAATCATTTATTGACGAATTCAACTTTTCAAAACAAGTGGACTAGCAGGGCTGACTGTGACTGACTTAATCTTCTCCTTATTTCCTCAGATTGGACAAAAAGGATCGAGTACCAGCCTGGCTCGGGGAGTTTGCCCTTATTCCCCAGCATCCACCTGGAGACGTGCGACGGAGCAGTGTCCTCCCTCCAGGTCACCGCAGAGCTGCAGACTAATTACATCGGCAAGGGCTGTGACCGAGAGACCTACTCTGAGAAATCCCTTCAGAAATTATGCGGTAGGCTTTTCCTTTGAGATTTCGTTCAGTTAATAGCTTACAAGTGATCCATGCAAACGAAGCTTATCTAATTAGACCAAAAAGGCCAGCCTTCCCCACCTACCCTAGTCCTCCTGAACGGATATTGGTTTAGGGCAGGGGGGGTGAGAAAACTCAGCTTTTGGCCTCAGACGCAACTGATTCAAGAGTCTGTTTGCCAATGGTGTGGCTTTAGGCAAAGAGCATGACAGGGCTTCCACTCTTTACCGGTAAGACAGGGATTAAATGGCAAAGTGCAGCTCAGGGCCAAGAGACACTCAGAGTCTTTCTACCATGGCGAGCAGCTTGCCTGGGACCGTTCCGAAGAGCGGTGCCAGGCACTCACAAAAGGGTTTAACTCCTCTCCACCCAGCAGCCGCATCACTTTCAAGGCCCAGTGCGAGTGAAACAATTAGAATTTTAATAGAGGAACACCAAAGCACCGGAACACGCAGCTGCAACTAAACAACTGCTCAAGGGTACAGGCCTGCGAAGCTGAGCCTGGCGGCCCACAGCAGAGCAGCTTCAGGTAGGGTGGAGGTGGGTGAAGGAAGGTGTCCCACAAGTGGAAGTGAAAGGCAGACAGGCAGGGAATTATCAATGGAGAGGGAAAGTGGGCTGCAAGAAAGGAGAAAGGTGGGGAATTATTAACAGGAAGTCGAGCAGATAAAAGGATGCCATGGAGGGGGCTTAGAAAGGGCCTTAGCTGAACACCCATTGTGTGTATCCTGTGACACTCTGCATGTGATGCTTCATTCAGCTTCCACATGTTTACCGTAAGGAGAAGATATTCACGCAGCTTTAACGGTGGAAACTTGGAGACTCCAAGTATGACAACTGCTGAAGTTTACACGGATAGAAACTGTCCGTGATAGTCGGGAAACAGGTTTACCTGAAAGGCAGGGTTTTTCGTTGAGCATTTATCAAGGCCAACCTTGTCCTTAGATCTGGAATGCAGCTCTCTAATGAATCTGTAAAGAAGATTCCTCTGAGGTGGGGCCGGTCCATGTACTCTAATAGCTGACTGCTACTGTGTTCGTGGACCGCTTCATCTCGTTTGGACACACAGTACTTCTCCCTTGTTCTCTACAGGAATACCTAGGGACTCTCATGCAGCTCTCCCCAGTTTCACTGGGGGAGCAGAGGAAAAGACTCCTTCCCACAGCGGGCAGGCTGTGTTTGGCAGTAACCATGACTCTTAAAGAGGGAAGTGAGGCCCGTTGGTGTGCAGTTTAGTGTGTCACTTCACGAGGGCCTCCTCACAAGAGCCTCCACCACTATCTCTGGGATGATTTTTTTTTTTTCTTGTCCTTGCCCAAAGAACCAAATGATCATATTCTGTGCATCATGCCACCAGGCTTGCGGGAAAGTTCTGTGAGGATGCCTGTCCCGCTGGACCAATTCACTGGGATGGAGGAAAATGGTGTTTCAAACAACTATTTCAAAAAAGAATATGCAGGGATTTGTGATGCTCACAGAATGCTTGAAATTACATCTTTTCCTGGACTTGGTTCACAGAAGCCATCTAAGGTGACATCTTACTTGGAATGAATGTCCCTTTTCATTCTCTGTGTACCTGGGGTGTCCATGGTGAACTCAACCCCACTCGGCCACCATGGGTTATAGTCATTTTCCGAACTCGGGGTTAGAAGGAAGTGATGAATCGGCTTGTTAAAGATCAGAGGGCCTAAGGGCACATGTTTGTGATTTGATTTTGAATGTTGCTGGGGACAGAAGGGAGATACGGAGAGTGCAAAGAGTGTTTTGAGGGAAGAAACAGAAGAGCAAAATTGCATGTGGCATGCTAACAGCTCACTCCATCTGGACTGCCAGCCTCGCAGGCTAACTCAGCTGGGGAATACCATTTCCCTAAGTGTGCTTCATCTGGTTCTGAGAGCCGCCCTTTGAGAGAGACAAGCCTGTTTCTTTCTTGCTACATTTCCAGTAGCACAGTCTACCACACTGATGGGGTCTCTGCCCAGTGACCATGGTGGACAGATGAGTTATGCCTCATTTCAGGAGCCTTATTTCTGATTGGCCTGGAGTAGAGTACAGCGAAACAGGACAGAGGAAAAGGTAGAACATCAGAAGTCAGTCCCTCTGGGATCTAAGGAAAAAGTAGGGGCTGGGTCATGCCCAACACACAGGCTGTGTTGTATTATCTGACCCTTGTGGGCATCATGGCTCCTGTCCACAGAAGTCCGTCTTTTCAGTAGATGGTAGAAAGGTTTCTTGCTGCGTTTCCCGACTAGAGAGCCGCTGTAACACTTTAAACCTCAGCATTCATGCATTTTTTTTCATCCTACAAATCTTTATTGACTTTGGAGGGAAACAGGGAGAACAATTAGGACATTATTACCATAGTCTAAGCAACAGATAATGAGTTCTGAAGCAGGGGAGTGGCAATAGGGATGAATTTAGTACAGTTAAGAGGCAAAAATCAGCAAGATTTAATGAGTGGTAAGCTGTTGGAAGGAAGAGAGAAGGGATCTCTAAAGCAGTGTCTAACTTGATGAAGGGGCCACACCCTATGCCAGAAACCCAGGAGCAAGGGTACGTTTCTGGGACATCACAAGCGGCCGCATATCTGTACCACATCACATGGCAGCTTCCTCTCAGATCTCCCGAGGACCTGTCTTGGCCTTGCAGCCCTTTCACTGTAGTTCATTTCAGGTTGGTGTTCTGCCTCCCATTCTGTTCCTTTCTTTGTTTCCTTTTATCCCCAAGTCTTTGCTTTCCTCCGCAGGCCCTTCTCCTAGGTCACTAGTCACCTGTTCCCTAGCCTAGTTGGTCAAGTCTTCTGTCATTGCTCTGGGAGTAGGAGCTTGGCTGCATGCTCTGTGTTAGTGTGGCTGGACGGTGACCCAGCCAGGCTGGCTTCCCAAGTAGCACAGTGAGTGAATCCCGTTTAAGGGAAATGAGAGCAGTGGCTGGAGTCGGAAGGCACCTGAGCAGATGCAGCAGCACTTGAGATGGTCCCAGAGCAACACTGGACAGCAGATATTTTGCTTCCTGAGATTTAAGCATGGAGATGCTTCCATTCTGCCTTGGAACAGTGCAGAGGCCAGGCTGTTCCTCAGGGGACCACAGGGTTCCTGGCAGCT